ACTGTCGCCACCACCACCATCGCCGTCGCCGCCGCCCACCACCAACCATCGCCACCATTATCACCGTCCTCCACCCCACCGCCACCACCAATGCCACCACCACCACCGTTGTCGCCCTCGCCGCCACAGTCACGTCTTTTATCACAACCATCACCGTCTCCTACCACCACCATTACCGCATATCACCTCTTATCCCACTATAAATCAATGCTTAAATTTCTTTATCTCTTCTTTATATTTGTAATTTGATTTTGAATATGAATACAAATATATTTATTGTTTACCATTTTTTATTACTCTGTCTCTTCATGCACAGGTAATAACTAGTATTCTTATATTTGAAAAGTTGACAAAGAAATATTTAAAGTTTAAATAGATGGTGGGTAATTAGTGGGAAAAGAAATGAGTAATTATAAGTAACACATGTTAAAATATGATTTGAAGAAACTATTGATATCAAATTAAATAATTTAAAATTCTATAAAATTAGAAATTAATTAAGGAGGGAAGACTTAGTAACCAAAGCCTCTTGCTAAGAAATTATTTGTTTTATGTATGTAGATTGACGCGACAAGAAGTAGTGGGAGATTTCAATATAAAGCCTCAAGGGTGCAACTTCAATTAGAAATATCAATATTAACCCATGCATGTGTTATTACTAACTCACTGGGAATTCAAGCAAGAATATCTCGAAATCGGATCATGAAAACTTAAGCTGTTGAGGGAATTTCACATCAAAAAGAAAAAGAAAAAGTAAAAAGTATGTTTGTATATTATATATGTTTTAATACTTTATCATTTAATATATAATAGGGATCACTTGAAACTAATCCTTTCGATGATAAGTACTTAAGAAGAGAGTGGGGAGAAATGAAAAAAAAAAAAAACCCAAAGATTTGGAAGTAAGGGTGTATCAATCTCTTGCTGGTGAGATTTTAAAGGAAAGAAAACATTACCCCCACCAAAAATTAAAAAAGAAAGGACTTGGGTTAAGTTTTTAATTATACGTTTTGTTTTAACTACAGTTCCAAAAAAAAAACTATTAAACTTTATAGCTAATTTCAAATTACACCTTGAAACATCGTTTGAATTTTAATTTGTACCCTCAAATATCAAAAATTTTAATTTGCATCCTTATAAATAGAAATTTGTATTAATGTACACCTCAAACTAACAACCGTCAGTTTACCGTCTAAAACTAAATAGATAAATTATACTTAGACCCCTTTATGTTTGTCACTTAATCACATAAACCTCCCAATTGGATATAAAGAATATTATATAAATATTTGTATTATATTGAGCATTCACATGGTAAGCTTGTTTTGAACTTTAGAGTATAACAGACCCATTAAAGTAAGAGTAGTATGAAAATTATAATTTTTTATTAGGATGAAATCATATTTTTTAACGGTTATATTAACAAATATCAACGATAAGGGATTATGTGTCAGACGTGCACAAACGTCAGAAGGCGTAGGAGTAATATTCTAAATGTGAAGGGTCCAAATAATTAAGTGATAATCATGAGGGGATCAAGGTGTAATTTATTTATTTAGTTAAATTAACCCTAAATTTAACTATTTGGAAAATACTATAGCACCAAAAAGTAAAATTTTAGTATACCAAAAAATAAAAAACGCCTCAAAAAATAATAAATTCTATCCCAAAAAGTGATAAACTCTATCAAAAAAATAACAAGTGAACCCAAAAAGTGAATATACCCAAATATTCGTAAGTCTCACCAAAAATATTACGTAGAAACCCAAAAAAAAGTGATGAGCAATAATTTATTTGGGTACCGTAGCAAACCCAAACCATTTTTCTCTAATTATATTCTCATACAGTACTAATAAACTAATGTATTTTCTCTTCTCATTGCCAAAATCCAAAATTTTCTCTCCAAAACTCACAAAGAGGATGTTGAAAAAATCCTTTTATATCCGTTGGATGTTCTAAATAATATAGCCAAACAAACAAGCGACATGAAAAAAAAAAAAAAAAAGTTGAAATAAGAACAAGCAAAAACTGCATAAAATATACATCGTAGAGAACGTACATTGCATAATTTTTTCTAAAAAGCCAAACATTTAACTATTACAACACGTTCTACATGTTCAACAACACTTACTTATGCAGTAATTAATACTGCAAACAGAACACATAAAATAGACCACAACACTGTAGACACTCAACCAGCAAACCCTAAACTATGAACTCCAAACCAGACACCCAAATAACTATCACATCTCTCTCTCTCATGGTGAGCTATCCCCACCAGGAGCACCACTATAGGACCCACTGGGTATAGTGGGCTGGATCGGGGCACATCGGACCCCAGGGAATGAGCAAAATCTGGTTGGGCCAAACCCAAATCTTGGGCTAGGGAAAGATCCAGTGAAGCCTGGGCTTGGAAATGAGCCTCCAATGCCTCCAAAGAAGTTCTGTGGCTGGTCATCCTTCTCCTTGATGCTCCTCCCTCCTTCAACGTCTTATCCAAATATCACCAGAAAGACTGTGAGGACTAAGACCATCTTAGCAACTTTCTCCATCTTAATACCTCTCTCTCTCTCTCTCTCTCTCTCTCTCTCTCTCTCTGTGAAAGTAGAGAGAAGTGTTGCATGCCCTTCCATTTTATAGTTGCAGAGACATTCTTCTTTGGGAAGGTCCCTATTAGGCTATAGCTTTCTGAGGTCACAGAGACAAATATTAGTAAGTTAGGGAAAGCTCTAAAAGTGGTCTTAAATGGTATTGGTACCGAGTCTTTGAAATTTGAATGCAAATTGGAAATTGAAAGTTGGATTTAGATTGAATCTCATTTGAATCGTCTCATCTATCCTCCTGAGTTTTAAGTCAGTTGTAGCTTAATTCTACTACATCTCTATGAATGCGAACCATTAGGTGCACACCAAGATCATGCCATGACCAAATTATTCCAAACTTATCTTTATTGTCTTGTCGGCCATTAAGCAATGCTAGCCAGACTAAAAAACAAGAGTTAAATGATGTGTCATTTGTTATGCTTAGTGAAATTTAAATTTTAAATGAGTAAAATGAGACAAAAATACGTCACAAAGGTTCGTATCACATTATTTGATTCTTATTTTTAGTCGGTCTAACTTTACATTTACTAAAATATTCTTTTGAAGTGGTTTGATTAAATAAACTAATCTTCAAGGAATTTCATGTTCCAAGGTTGTTGGGCAAATGATTATTTGAGAAAGGGAAGTAGCTGCAAGTTTTAGCATTCAGCAAACAGATTCATTCAAATAAAATCTTTCAGATTTACGAAATAAATTTGGCTCCAATTTTTAAAATTGAATTCAAATTGATCAAATTCAATCCGAATCCAACATATTGGCATGACTAATGCTTAGCATTAGGGCAAGAAAATTGTCTTTTGGGTGGCATGGGAGCCCCATTTCTTTGATCTGGTCGACCTATGATGTACTAACCACATACTTAAAATGGTTATAACGTTGGTGTTGAATTTATGATACCCCCACCTAAAAGAAAATGATGTGTTTCGGGTTTTTAATGAAAGCCATAAAGCCCTAACCAGTGATAGGAGTGTATGCCTTTAAAACATTTCCATAAACTTATGCTGGTACTAGGTGCCCATACCTGCTTACTGATACCTTTCTATAGAAGAGTTTGACTTCAAAAAAATAAAAGATTAGTGGGGTAAGTAATTTCAAGGTTTTTAATTCATCATCAGATCGATTGAATTGGAGGGCATACATCTTGAATCTCTCAATGTTCACTTCACTTGTTAGGAGATGAGATTCATTCACTTGCATTCATATTTGACATTATAAACATCTTCAGTCTTATCGTTACTATAAAAGTTGTGTAGTCTTTCCTAAAATTCGTAAAGTTTGGTTACATTGATTGCAAATGTCTCGTCATTAACTTTCATCAACCTCTATTATTTTTGCAGTAAAAAGCAACTTAATCCAATATAAACTACAATTATTTTAATTATAAAATTTCTCTAGTTCAAATTTTGTTATAACCATTCTTACTAGCAAAGTTCGGATGTCTGAGGCCCTGATTCACCATATCACAAACAAATTTACGAAAAAATAAATGCAGAAAATGAGAAAATTGCATGATTTGGCATGAAAGTCTAGAAGCACTTAATTTGAGACTATATCCCAAAGAAGGGCATAAGAAATTTCACTATATGCTGTGTCGATTAAGAGACATGCATCAACTTCATTTACACTGCCCTAGAGATCCACAAATTAGCCGATTATCAAGTGCACAAGACGTTCATTACTGAAAGATATGAAAAAGATTAAATATACACAATCTTACGTGTACAAATAGTTTATTTCTGTGAGTAAACCAACCAATCATCGTGACATTATAACCAGCGTAGCCGACAAATGTCCATGCCCATTCCAATTGCAGCTTTCACAATCACCCTTACAACACCCAGCAAGCTCAAAATGTTTGGTGAATAATTTTGTTTTCTCTTAATTCAAGGCTGGAGGTTTCACATTTTTGTCTCAAACATCAGTCACAGAATAGCTCTAATAAAAATACATTTTCTTTTAAGTTTATTTTTTATTCATTTTTAAAAATAATTTTCAATAAAATATTTACCTTTCAGAACTGATATTCTGTCAAAATACCATTTTCCCCTTTAATACATGCAATATATCATGGGACATCTGATGCTCGACATTTATAAACCTCTCAAAAATTGATTCTTTTCATTCTTTCCGCGGGAGTCTGCCAAAATTCCAGTGCTGACAAAAATCACACAGCCTTGAACAAATAAACTAGTACTGGGATAGAAAACCAGTGAGTTAATCTACAACTTGTCATTATTATTGCATAGGTTTGCGTAAAATTTCAAAAAAAAAAAACAAAGAAGGGGAATTAACGTTTTTAGAGCAAACAGTCCAATCCAGCTTATGCCTTTCAAGGAAGCCTCATGCAATATTATTTTCTCAGTGCAGTGACAAATGAAAATACAAAGAATGATGAGACTATGCTGCAGACATTATGCAATCAATAGCCTGCTTGCAAATGGCAGTCATTGTAGCCTCAGGTCCATAAACCTACAACAAGAAGAATTAACAAAATCAAGTTACAGACATGAAAGTAAAAAGGTTTTCCAAATAACATGGCAGATGGGGAAATACAAAAAAATTTGAAAAAAAAAGGGATACCACAGTTTGCGAGTAATCAGTCAAAGTCTGATTCGCAGAAACTATCATAAAGAAACAGAACAGGTTTATGTAGGTTGTGTACTTCAATTTCGCTGCAATAAGACTAGAATTGAATGTGCATCTTCAAAATTTTAATGGCATAGATGAACACGAAGAGGAATTGCAAATTCCCCCCAAGATTTATGACCTCAAAGGCCAATATTGCATTCAACATATTGGTTGAGTATACCATGGCTTTTCAGATTAGGTAGAGCCACTTATGAAAACCTTTAGCCATGAGCCACAATAGTTTGGTACTAATTTCTTGATTTATAGAAAGCTAACCATGTCGAATGTGCCTTACATATTCTACATGTCATATGTCGCAGAGAAAAAGCCGATAACAATTTTTAGAATGACAATAGGGTGCTACATGTTCCTAAACCAAACTCCAGAGGCTGTAAGATATAGCAACTTCCACAATCAGAAAGTGGTTCTATCTTTTTTAATACACGCTGAGAATTCTGATGCATAGAGCCAACTAAAAGTGGCCTTATATCCAGAATGTCATGTCATACCTCAAGGGGCACTCCCAGTTCTTCTCCCAAGGCACGCATCTTTTTCAATCCAGTCTGATAGTTGGGACCACCTCTTCGAACAAAGATGTGCATCCTTGATGCTTTTAACTTGGATTCCTGTCCCAGGACAAAGTAATATAATTTAATGCAGGAAAGAAATGATCAAAATAAGGGAAACTAAATCATGTGATCGCATTTTTGATAAGTTAATTCACCCCACCTTCTCCCTCAGGGCCCGAATGATTCCATTGAAAGTAGCCGCAACATCCGTGAAGTTAGCAATACCTCCTCCAATAAGAAGGGCTCTCTTACGGCTGTCAGGGTCAGCAGTGGCACACTACATCGACATCAAAGAATAGAATGTTCATCCAAAAAAAGATTCAGAAGTCATAAATTTATGCAGGAAAGAAGGCCAAGCTTGATTTCTTACATCAATAACAACTCTGGCATATTGCAGCACCTCCTCCTCATTTGGAGCTCCACTATACTCTGCATAATTACCAAGCTCGGATGCAAAACCCAAATCACCAACCTAGTTTAACAGGAAAAACAGCATCAACTGTTGGTTGCATAGAAGAATTAGCATCAACAGGTAAAAAATTCTCCAAAAATAACATTTAATAACGTTGAGTTATAGTGGGTGCTAGAATATCAAATGTTAAAGTACTTACTGTGTCGGCATATATGACACTTGCACCACCTCCGGCCACCATTGTCCAGATGCGTCCTTTTGGGTTCAAAACAGTAAACTTCAATGATGCACTGGTCTGCAATGGTAAAATGAAAGATATAATTACTACATACAGGTTTTGATGTCCATAAGCAAGTTCATCTTCAGTGATCAAACTTGGTTTTAAAAATGACAAAGCATTAGATAGAACACTGAAACAAGCAAAATACATTTCTAGTCTATAAGTTAACCTATTCTCTATATGTGGACTTGGGATCAACTAATAGAATCCAATATCAAGCACATTTTTGTGTTGAAGAATGCGATGCGTTTGCTCATGGCTCTTGCATTAGAATTTAAGGCTCCAGCCTGAATATCAAAGGGCACACACACACAAGCATTACTAGTAAGCCATTTTTTGAAACTATGCGAACCTCGTAGTCCATAAGCTAATTCTTACTTTTGTTCTATGTTCAGGAAGCTTAAGTTCTATTCCTAAACAAGAATGAGGAAGTAAGGGCAGCACATAACACATTTCCCTATCAGAATCTTCCTACGCACAGGCCCAAACAATCCTGCTAAACAATAAAAATGCCTATATACAAGACAAATTAAACGTGCCATGTTACCAACAAGGGTTGCCAATTTCAGATGATCTAGTGGCATAAAGAAGTTCCATTTACCTTTTCATCCAATGAGTGAATGAATCTTTCTGTTGGGCTCAGAACTCTTCCGAAAGGCAGAGGGAACTCTATACTACCCCACCTGAATGCATAAAGATAGAGCAGGAAACACATTAGCGGGCGTTTTCAAATTGAACAGTTCAGTAATCATTCCCATCTGTTTTCAAAACCAATGCGTACTTCTTAAAGTTCTTGAAGGCAGCCGTGTCATCCAACTCTCCCCTCATATCCAAGGGGTATGGCTCCCCATTTACCAGAGTAAAGGGATTCATCTCAAGGAAACTAAAATCCAGATCTGTTGAAAGAATAATGAAGCAAACGAAAAGTTGACAACACCATTGAATTCAAGAAGGTAATTCCAAACAAGCAAGTATCAGTAGACACAAAAAGGGGGAAAAGAAAAAAATTGCCTAGCCTCCCTTTCTCCCATTAGAACGAAAAAGGAGTCAAAAACATTCGACTAATAAATGCATAACAAATTCACTTGTAGTTAGCCCATTAAATACCCTAATATCATTTTGAATTATAAGTAATTTACTTGAATGTGACAAATATCATAAGTTTGGATGTAAATTCTTATGTTGTGTAATTGATAAAGAGCAACTGTGTTTTATTGCTAAGTACTGCATACCTTGAAATACAGCAAAAACGCCCATTATAAAATCACCAATCTTCCCTCGAACCTGATTCCAACAAAGCAGATTCAGAACATGCTAGTCAAAATATGCACCAGCCGAACGAAAACATAAAAATAAAAAAGGAAAGGCATAAAAATTCAGCGGTGAGAAGCTTAGGAAACATGTGAAACAACGGGTGTCTAATAAGAAGATGAGTAGATAAGCTTTCCCCTTCATTATTGACTCTGACATAGTCCACTCGTATATGACACGATAACATTGATAGGATAACCATGAAAAGAGCTAGATTACTTGTTCGCATAGGTAAAGTTACTTCCATGATCTTAAAGATTCCACAATTTATATCATGGAAAGTGATATTAGAGGTGGATGGCTTTCACATCAATGGACATGATTTCCAATTGTAGGTTCCACAATTGCAATCATGGAAAGTGATTTCAGAGGTGAATGAATTTCACATACTTGGAAACAATTCCCACATGTATGAGTGTGGAATTGTCAAGTAGAAAGGAAAATACAAGTGTAGTTCCAAGTAAATAAAACCACAAAGAAGAAAACATAAATTGTTTATTTATAACGCACCTCCAGTGGAAGTGTGGCAATCAAAGGAGCAGATGTCTCCAGTGTCATAGGTTTTTCACTAGGAAGAAATATAGTTTTCACCTGTTTGAATGAAATAAATCAACAAATAAATAAGTGCCACATTTCATCGTTCATCAAAATTAAAAAGTGCACTAGTGGAGACAAAAGTGTGAATAAACAGAAAAATACAGTTAGTCTAGGGAACAAACCTATCAGAATATAAAAATAAAATCAAGAAGTAAAACAGATGTGGCTAAAAAGGGACTGACGACTTTGACAACAGAAAATAATGTGGTAAATCACTGAAATATTGTTTAGATAAATGACGTGGCATATTCCTATGCAGCATACATTTATTGCATCTTTGCATCAACTTACCTTGTCCCAGTTCTCTTCAATTTCAATGCCTCCACATTCTGAAAAGCTAATCGTAGAACCAAGCCTTTCAGAGACTATGGAAAGGTAATATTCTTGGTCATGGGGAACAAATGGTTCAACAATGAATGTCGTGATTGGTGCCTTGCAACCGCCCATCTCAACCTTTGACAATGCAGTCCACATATGAGTAGATATAAATTTCATAAAACGGAAGTTAAGTTTCCATTGATATTAATTTGCATCACCTCCACGCCAAGGCGTGCTTTCACGAATTCAGCAACTTGAGCAAGATCTAAATTCAAGGCTACTAGGCCACTCTTCCCACGCTTGCCAAACAACATGTCCGGTTTCACAACCAATCTTGCGGATGAAAGCCATGGTTCTTTGTCTGTTAACTCCGTGAATTCCGTGGACTCAGTTACCTAAAGATTAAAATCAGTTGTTTCTTTCAGTTTTTCAGTAACCACTGTAAGTCATATATACTTCAAGAATGAACAAAACTCAAAACAAAATAAACTTTGCTTGCATTCATGTAGATCCCATCTCATACACATTACCACAAATTCAGCTTTTGACTACTTGGTTAAAATTTTTTTGCTTTTTCGTATTTACCACCTAATGCATTGGTGAGATAATGTGGATATGTAAAGATAAAAAATATTGAGACTAACCCTTATTGTCTCTATGGTTCTATTGAAAAGGACGAAGAAAACTGAAAATCACAGCCCTTTGTGTATCCCTAAGCTTCAAATCTCTAATAAAAGATATCATAGTTGAGTAGTGTTATGTTGTGTTTTCTGAATTCCCAAACAATAACTAATCAAAAGTTTCATGAATCAACGTTTTTCCTTGTCAAAGCTAGCATCAGCAATTAAACAGAAATCAAAGAAAATAATATAGAATAATTGCTAATAACAACATATAGCATTATTTCTAAGTAACGGAGAAAATAGAAAGGAATTAAAAAAAATCTTTCCCACACCATGTGATTGTATTTATAAGTATTTTTGGACAATTAAAAAAGAAATCCCCGAGTTTTTGTTGTTATTGTGCTGATATCGAAACAAAGAAAGGCATGGATTGCTTTCAGTTTCAAACAAAGGAAGAAGAAGTAAAAATTGTTATGTCTGAAAGGAATACTGATGGTATGTTGGTGATGGTGTTGGTTGTGAGATTAAGAAAGAGAAATATGTTTGCTACCAACAGGCCCACACTTTTTGCTTTCTAATCATCTCTCTCATTTGTTTGGGCTCCCAAAAAAGCATATGACAAAACCATTACCAAATCTAACCACTTGTTTGCTTCGTGTGTCTTATCAATGCATTTTCTTCAAGATAAAAATTGACTAATTTGAACTGCATAAAATACAGAAAATGGGCTATAACCACCAACAAACATTGACATAACGATCTCAATTAATGCAAAGAACAACACCATAAATCTAGATCACCACACATAGACATAATGGTCCACAAAACACCATAATGGTCCACACAATTAATGCAAAGAACAACTTTAACTCTTCCAAAAGTTAAAGTTGTTAGGGAAGAGCATAAATGTGGGCCCTTTTAAGTTGTCCATCCACATGATTGTGTTGCGTATTAAGATAGGAGTCAACTTGGTTCGAATTCAAGGCTTTTATGTTTTATACCATGTTAATTACCAATTCTTCCAAAACCTTCTAGAACCTTAAACTGCAAGAAAGGGGTTTTAGTATGGCCCTTGTTGAGTATTCATTCACGATGCAGAAGCAATTAGACAATGTCGTAATGTAACGCCCCAAAAGTCACCTTGGACGGCATTACTATCTAAATACCATTTAGATCATGAGAGCAACTACTAAAATCTATCAAATAAGAAAATTTCATTTATCATATGCAATATCTACAACATCTTCCCAAAAGAATATGTCAAACCATGGTCATAATATCCAAAAGAATATGTCAGGCTATGACAATTATATCCCAAAAGAATTAAATTTAACTTGCAGCGGAATAACAAAATATTAGACTCCACCGAGTCTCAAAAAGGAATTTTTTAGTCTAGCACATAGGAGAGCATAGCCCTAGGCATCCACCCCGGATCCACGTGCCCATCTAGTGGAACTTCCCAATGTACCGACTCGTCAATTCCGGGCTCCTCCTCTAGACCATAATCTGAAAAAAATACTATTTGTAGGAGGTGAGCATGAAGCTCTGTAGGAAAAATCCTCCCAAACTCGAACAAGGTTTGAAAAACAAATAAAACAAGCCGGTCTCATTTCACAAATATCATATATCAAGTTTGAAAGAAAAATCGGGACATTATAATGGATCTCAAGTTTACACAATAGCAATACTTAAATAAAAAAAAAATAATAATAATTTAAAACAATAAGTCATTTTCAACCATAAACTATTTCCAACAAGTTCTTCTAATAAACCATTTCCACTACAATAACCAATCACCCACAATTAGTACCATTATTCACCATGTATCTCAGTATGATGTATGACATCGCATGAATAAACATATCGAAAATACCCTGACCCACACACACACTCAATCCTCACAAGAATAAAGGATATCAACATTTTAGGAAGGGCATGTACCAACTCATGGCAGTGATGAAATCCAACCCAGGAATAGTATACTAACCCTCATCCTCGGTACCCCTGAGCGAATAGTGGTTTGGTCCTTACAAGGCACCAACCCCACTACGAGTGGTAGAAAAATTCAAACCCGTATGGAATAAGAAACGCATCTATCCACTGTACGATACCTGGTCAACGGCCGTCCATAGTCATCCAAACATCCACAAGAGATACAATATCCAACCAATTTTTCAAATAACAAACCAAAATTCAAAATTCCCAAATTTCTCATATATCCTTCTAATATAACAAGTTATGAAAATATGCAAGAGATCATCATAAATACCATTTTATTGTTCAATACAAAGCACTAAAGTTTTGAAATCAAGAACAAAGAAAAAATCAAGAGAAAAATTCATTTCTCTTAAGAACTAAGGTTTGAAGGCAAGAAAAGAGATTTAATGGTTATCCAACCAAAATATTGTTTAAAACATGATAATATTTGCAAGAATATCAAGAATCAAATATTTCATAGCATACATACAAGATATAGAGTCAAAAGAATACATATATATAAGCCCTAGCCTCAATGTAAGAGAATAGGAGAAATCTCTACCTTTGAATCAAAGTTACAAGCTAAAGCCCAAGCTCTATAGACTTCCTTCCTCCTTTTCCTCTTTTCTTTTACCTTCTCCTAGGGTTCTAAGAGGTTTGAGGTGAGAGTGGAGTGAAAGAATGGAAGAAAATGGGTTGAGAATGGTGTTTTAAACCCAGCAATTCCAGAATTTTACTGTTCATGGGCTGAATTTTAGGTTTTTCTCCAATTTTACAGTTTTGTTATTAAATATTTTCAATTTGATCTCTATGACTACCCTAAGGTTTTTAGACATTCCGGATTCATTTTTAATGTTATTTTAACCTAAAAATATTTAGTTTTATGATTTATCTTTATACTAAAATAATTTACACCCGAAACACTAAAATTACTATTTTATTCATCTGAACCGCTCTTAATAAAGGTTTAAATTAATTGACCCATCCGAAGTCCAACATACCATCCTTGATACTCTATTATTATCCATTTATAACATTTTAAGAAAAGAATACTTAGTTCCAAAGCTTTGGCAACTTAGGCACTAGTACCCACACCATTTGGTGGCAGTACCTCGGTTTTGCTTCTTTTTTACCATGATCCATTTCGATTCTGAAGAAGTTGAAAACATGAAAGTTGTAGATCTGGATGTCCTCTGTTTTGTGTCAAAATTTTAGCTCAATCGGACAGTAGGATCAAAAGTTATGATAATTCTACAAAAACTGGTCCAGAGCAGACAGTACCGGTACATAGTATCGGTACACTTTTGCTTCTAGTGTTCATGAGTACCGGTATGCTGCCCAGAACGCCTGATTTTTCATTTCCAATCCATTCAAAACCCTTCCAACATCAACCCAAACTTATACAACATAAATTTGTTCATCAAATATGGTTGGTACAAGTTCTATTACAAACGATTTCATATATTTATCCGAATTTTACTATATTAGCATTTAAAAAAGAAATGATTACTTGTTATATAAAGGTAAGAGTGTGGGGAGAGAAGTTACACGTAAAATCCACCGAAAAAAAAAAGAGATTGGATTTGAAAAACTAAAACATTTTCGATGAGCTCAATTACCTTATGGATCATGTTAAGTTTAGAGAATGAATACAATATTAGAGAAACGGAGAGAGATCAAAAACCTTAACATGTCTCTCACAAATCACTTGTATTTATAATTAACTCGTAATTATACAAAAGACGTGTATACCCTCTATGTGGTATACTTATTTCAACCAGTATTTATATAATACTCTAATAATCTTAACACTCCCTCTCAAGTTGGACTATATATATCATATAATCCAAACTTGGAACAAATGGCTGTAAGACGCGTACGACTCAATGTTTTGGTAAACATATCTACAAGCTGATCCTCAGATCTCACAAATAGAGTTGTAATATCTCCAACTATTATCTTGTCTTAAATAAAGTGACAATAAATCTCAATATGTTTAGTTCTATCATAAAACACTAGACTAACGGACATATAAATAGTTGTTTGATTATCACAAAACAACTATAAAAGATGTTGAATTAGAAAGCCAATTTTTGGAGAAAGTGTGGTAGCCACGTCAACTAACTGATTGTATGTGTCATTGCTTTATACTCAGCACTGGATCTTGCTACCACCGTTTGTTCTTACTCTTCCATGAAACGTTACCTCCTAAGAAAGTACAATAACCATTGGTTGATCTCTGATTAGAAGGAGAACCAGCCTAATCAACATTTGAAAAACCATCCACTCTAAAATGTTTATTAACTAGATATAACAACTCAAGACCAGAAACATGTTTCCATGTTTGAGGTATAGAAGAATACGAGTGTCTGCCTCCCAATGTGGTATTCTAGGGCATCCCATAAACTGACTTACTACACTAACTACATAGGAAATATCCGATCGGATAATAGTGCGATAATTGAGCTTCCGAACCAACTTATGATACCGACCCGGATTCTAAAATAGTGCATCATCATCCATTAACAATTTATGATTTGAATCCATTGAAATATCAATTGGTCTGCCACTTAGCAAACTTATTTCTTCTAGCATGTCAAGTACATATTTCTTGTGGGATAAACAAAAACTAATAGAATATATCCTATATCAACATGTTTATGAAACACAGAGTGGTCTGTCTAATATTGAAGAAGACCAAACTCTAAAACTGC